GTATGCTTTTTAGTTATGTTTTTCGTGCCTTTTCCCCATCAAATGTAAATAATTGCTCATGTGAATTCTACACGAAATTCAGTTTGACAAAGAATGTGATTTCTAACTTTTCACATGAATTAGCCTTGAATAGCGTTGATGTCTTGAATGCCTAATGTTCCGCAGAACATGATCAGGGAATATGAGGAAGGATATCTTCTGTGAGAACATTGTGTACTCAGATGTTTGTCCTAAATTGGTTAGAGCAGCATTTCTTGTTACAGTTGGCGTTAGGCAGACCCATGTTTGTTTTCAACCTGTTTCAACTTTTTTATTTCCACAAACAAAACTGTCATTGTTGTACAGGCAGCTTGGAAAAGCAGTTTCTTTGTTGATGTGTTGGGCAGTTGATGACAAGTGTTCTTTCAGTGTTTGAAAAACCCCAAACCTGCCAAGTTCACTTTGAAATGCTCCTCATGGCTTACATTCCAACAATCTCCCACTTCCCAGGAACAAGACGATGCAATCTTGAATCAAGAAAGCATGTATGCCCATCTTCGCCTCCCAAAGTCTGTATGCTTTAGACACATTTCCTCACTCGCTAGGCAGCCATGTACACACTCAGCCTAAAGAAGGGAGCGGACTCCTTATAGTATCGGATCAACAGGCCTACACAGGCCGGCAGGCTTGTTTAATCATAGCTCCATAGCCCGGTGTGTGAAGACTGGTTGGAGGAAGCCATTCCTCTTGGCAACTTCCGTTGTCTTATTAAACTACCTGCAAAACATGGTGGCAACATGTACAACTGTTTTTGACATTTGAATTCTTAGTTTTTATGGTTATTTGTAGGTCTATGATAAAATATGAGAGTTAAAGTTCTGAGTGCTTTCACTGCCGTGTCTCTGTGGGAAGTATCGGAATAAAGAGACTGCGGCAACTGTTATAGGTCTGTGAGAAAGTATGAGAGTTAAACTGCAAACTGACAGATATATCTGTCACAGGTCTGTCATAAATCAATGGAGTTAGACGTGGGATTTTAATGCTAACTTTCATATGTCTGTGATAGCATGCAGGAGTTATTTAATGTGATCTAAATACTTGGACTGATATATGTCTGTGATAGCATACAGGAGTTATTTAATGTGATCTAAATACTTGGACTGATATAGGTCTGTGATAGCATACAGGAGTTATTTAATGTGATCTAAATACTTGGACTGATATAGGTCTGTGATAGCATACAGGAGTTATTTAATGTGATCTAAATACTTGGATTCATATAGGTCTGTGATAGCATGCAGGAGTTATTTAATGTGATCTAAATACTTGGACTGATATATGTCTGTGGAAAGTATCGGATTAAAAATCACAATCTTAGCTTCTCAACTCTTGTAGATCTGTGACAGATTATGGCAGTTAGATTTTGGTCCTTGATACATCTTAGTGTCATAATGGTTAAGCATGATAATTAGACCAGGATGCTCAGATCACTTGATGTGCAAAAGAACTTGCACAATCTCCAAAAATGAGGCCACAGATATTTGAGATGGAGGAAGTGAGGTTTAGTGTATGATATACTGACAGACTGATACATGTAATATATGGTATATACTGATATGGTGATATTTGGTTTAATGTATACCAAGAAAGATATTTTTATCCCCCACCGCATGTTTAGCGCGAAGCGGGGGATATAGTATTAAGGCTCCGTCCGTACGTACGTGCATGTACATAGGAATTAGAATATCTTAAGAACCGTTGACTAGATTCTTTTCATATTTGGTACCTAGGTTCATCACAGTATAAGAAAGGGCCCAGACAATTTTGGTGACCTTCACATAAGTTTCAAGGTCATGGTGACACTTTGAAGATTCAGCATGTTAACCTGCATGTTAAGCTATCTTAAGAACTGTTCACTGAAGTTTCTTCATATTCAACACCAAGCCTTATCTAGGGAAGGCCCAGGGCCCAGTCGATTTGGTGACTTTCACTTAATTTTCAAGGTCACAGCGACACTTTGAAGATTTCAGTATGTTAACCTGAATGTTGGGATGGTCAGCCAGATATCTCAAGAACCATTCACTGGACTGTCTTCTTATTTCACACCAAGCTTCATCTAGAGAAAGTGCAAGTCCCAGTCAGTTTTTATGACCTTCACTTAAATTTCAAGGTCACAAAGACACTGAAGATTTCAGCATGTTAAATTGCACGTTAAGATGGTCATCAAGATATCGCAAAACCCATTCACTGGATTTTCTTCATATTTGACACTTCATCTAATGAAGGCGCAGGGCCCAGTCAATTTTGGTGACCTTCACATAATTTTCAAGGTCACTGCGACACTTTGAAGATTTCAGCATGTTAACCTGAATTCACTGGATTTTCTTCCCTTGAATGTTTTTTAATTAGCAATTTCTTACCGGTAGATGTATAATATACACTGACATGGATATAGATATTTCCTGTATAACACACTGATATGGAGATTTATATTACCGGTAGATGTATAATATACACTGACATGGATATAGATATTTCCTGTATAACACACTGATAGGGAGATATATATTACCGGTAGATGTATAATATACACTGACATGGATATAGATATTTCCTGTATATCACACTGATATGGAGATTTATATTTTAAAATTATTAGATGTTCCATACATCTGAGTAAATTCACCATATTTGGTCTGGTTAAATCCATTTTGGGCTAGTAACATTTTGAAGTTACCAGCACTGATGTCTGGCTGGATTTTTGACTTATTTCATACAGTGGTGTATAATATACACTGACATGGAGACTGTGACAAGTGTTGTAATATGTGTTTGAACAACAGATACTTACCCAGGTACCAATCCATAGTATATCACATTCCATTACCTAATTTCTGAATAAAGATGTAAATTGTATACAACTGTGTGTACACAATAAAATAGGGAGTCAGTTTATAATGACAAGTATGATTCATAGAAAAACTGTCATGCGGTTTTATGGTGGAATCCTTAGTATGAGGCCTGATATTTTCAGCCTTGTTGCCCTTGTGTGGGGAGACACGACTTTATGGCAGGTGTTGTAAGGATGGTCATTTTGGACAAGTGTATGTTGGGATGTAACACAACAGTGCGAGACAGGCGTTTAACAAGGATGCCTTCTTCCACCTACTTCTTTTATATCAACTGCAGAACAAGCTGTCTCCTGGGAGAGTTTAGCATCTGCATGCATGACAGTTATGGTCAGAAGTTATCTGTTCTATTTGGATAATGAAGGGGGCTTTCAGAAGGAATATCTAAGAGTGCCAGTTGTGTGTGTGAAACATGTCAACTATCAGCACAGTATCATGTGGAGGTGCTACTGTAGCCCAGATATAATCCTCTATCTTCGCCAGTGCCCCTTGACTCTTGGCACTAAGGTGACAGACAGAAGTGTGTTGAGTGTGATTTATCCTCCTTATGCTTATAAGGTCATGAACTTATAATAATCATGGAGGCAGAATGCTGCTGTATCAATGAGCTCCTGGTAACTCCAGAAAATTACCCCACTGTCAGCAGTTGATAACATCATGAATGACACTTGCTCTACCTGTGTATGATGTTCTAAATAACTTGCTAGAACAGGTTTTTATAACATTCTGTTGGTCTAATCATCCATCAAAGGAACATGTGGCATGAGATCAAAGCGTGAAAGCAGTGATTGTTTTGTCATATTTCATTAATTATCTAACAATACCCAGCCAATCACAAGTATGCAAAGCTGTCCTGTATTACTTCAATAACAGGGAAAGATAACAGAATAATATCAGGTATCCTTGGCTAGCAGTCTTGTTGAAAGTGCCCTGGAATCTGCTATCTGATTTACACTGGCCTAATATGTAAAGACGGGCCTAATATGTACAGACGGGCCTAATATGTAAAGACAGAAGTGTGTCAAGTGAGAGGGCCGCCTCCACTGTGTACAAACATAACTAGTGGAACGTGCCAGTGGGCCAAAATACAGACATTATTCTTCTCCTGGTCAACTTTTGTAATCCTGACTGCCTACATTTAGACACCACACTGCCTTGGGAAGATTGTGAGAAGTATTGGAGTCTTGTTTTCTGTGGAATAATAGTCTCAGCCTGTGAATATTGGTCATTATCCAGATCAAATATCTTCCGTGTAAAATCTGCAGTGTGTAACAGTGTTGAACAAGTGCAAGACAGGGTTGTTCTCTTGACCCTGTATTTTCCTTTACACAGAGTAGTCTAGTCGGTAGTCTGGCATTGAGTTGGATAGGGTTGTTCTCTTGACCCTGTATTTTCCTTTACACAGAGTAGTCTAGTCATTGAGTTGGATAGGTGTGGGAAAGGGGTGTTCACTTGTCCATGATCTCTTCCTTTACATGGAGTGATCTGATCGGCACTTTGCCAGTGACAGGACAGAGCTGTGTGCTACTTCAAACATTTGGACTACTCACACAATTTAGACAGGTGTGGGGGTGAGTTACGACTTGGTTCATGATATCTCAAACAAGGTTAAGAAAAGCGTCAAAATAGAACGAGTGGCTAAAGTTCTCAACATTTTTGCAAACATTTACAAATTAGAGAACCGGAATTGAGCCATGTGTGAGCTTCTGTGACAAGGTGTGTGCGACTTATTCAACATCTTGCTGTAGACGTGAAAACAGCTACCTCAAGTCATCGTTCTTATTTCAAAGCCGATACTCCCGCTTTGTAGATTTCATCAGCTATTATCAGAGAAAAATATTTGATGACTGATAAATAGATTACTCCACTGCAAGACAAAAAAAATATTTTCACGAGTTTCCTTAAGTCATCTTGATATTTGGATGGCTGTTTGCCTACCATTGTGACAGAAAGAAGCATGTGTCTATGATTATCTTTGATTGCATGTGATTTCAAGACATATCCAGAACTTCCAAGCAACATCACAAATTTGATTGAATGCCTGATACACCATTCCTCTGTCAAAAGTGACTGGAAAGTGGGATACTCTACTAGTTCATTCTCAAACTGTGTCCCTGTTCTCTGCAGACCAGGTGCTGTAGCAGAGCAGGCGTGGAAACATTTCATCTTTGCTTGTGACAATTGCGTAACTTGAAAAGGTGACCTAACGGTGGGTGACTGACAAGTTTCCCACAACTTCTCAGACGGGCCTTCCACAGGCTGACCGTTGCTGGACGTACCTGACGGCAATCCACAAGCAGACAACATATTAGACCTCCATCCACTTGTAGACTGTTGCCTGCTTACCAGTGAGTTTCATGTTGGTCTGAAGTAGCTGACATCAACTTATCCAAGGATCTGAGTTTCAGCATGGTTGTGTACCAAACTGATGTTGTCATGGAGCCCGATGAATTGTGAGTAATGACATGATATACAATATACACCAAAACAAGCTTCTTTTTGATGATACATGCGTACAGTATATCAGTATATACCCAAAGTAGCTTGTGGGGTTGATTATATATAAAATATAGTACAGAAGGATAAGGGTACATATAATGTATATCCGCAGCTTGCAGTGTTTATTATATGCATAATATGTGCCAGAAGGCTGATGATATACACATGTATCATGTAGATCTGAGAAGCAGCTTGCAGGGTTGATGACAAAAGTATATATCTGTATACCAGAAGTGGCTTGCAGGTGATGGTATTTATAACATGCACCAGAAATAGGTTGCATGTGATGGTATTTATAACATGCACCAGAAATAGGTTGCAGGTGATGGTATTTATAACATGCACCAGAAATAGGTTGCAGATGATGGTATTTATAACATGCACCAGAAATAGGTTGCAGGAGACGCTTTATATAATATACACCAGAAATAGGTTGCAGGAGAGGGTATATATAATATACACCAGAAATAGGTTGCAGGAGAGGGTATACATAATATACACCAGAAATAGGTTGCAGAAGAGGGTATACATAACATACACCAGAAATAAGTTGCATAAGAGGGTATACATAATATACACCAGAAATAGGTTGTTTCCTGGCACCGTATCTTTAGCTTTGACGGTACTCCCCTACTCCCTTGGAAATTAGCTCTCCCGGGAAATCTGAAATATATATTTTAGCCTTCCCGGGACATCTGAAAAATAAATTTTAGCTTTCCCGGCACGACACCTACATAATATACACCAGAAATAGGTTGCAGGAGAGGGTATACATAATATACACCAGAAATAGGTTGCAGGAGAGGGTATACATAATATACACCAGAAATAGGTTGCAGGAGAGGGTATACATAATATACACCAGAAATAGGTTGTTTCCTGGCACCGTGATCTTTAGCTTTGGCGGTAGGAAATTAGCTCTCCGAAATCTGAAATATATATTTTAGCCTTCCCGGGACATCTGAAAAATATATTTTAGCTTTCCCGGCACGACACCTACATAATATACACCAGAAATAGGTTGCAGGAGAGGGTATACATAATATACACCAGAAATAGGTTGCAGGAGAGGGTATACATAATATACACCAGAAATAGGTTGCAGGAGAGGGTATACATAATATACACCAGAAATAGGTTGTTTCCTGGCACCGTATCTTTAGCTTTGGCGGTACTCCCCTACTCCCTTGGAAATTAGCTCTCCCGGGAAATCTGAAATATATATTTTAGCCTTCCCGGGACATCTGAAAAATAAATTTTAGCTTTCCCGGCACGACACCTACATAATATACAACCAGAAATAGGTTGCAGGAGAGGGTATACATAATATACACCAGAAATAGGTTGCAGGAGAGGGTATACATAATATACACCAGAAATAGGTTGCAGGAGAGGGTATACATAATATACACCAGAAATAGGTTGCAGGAGAGGGTATACATAATATACACCAGAAATAGGTTGTTTCCTGGCACCGAGATCTTTAGCTTTATGTACTACTTCCCTACTCCCTTGGAAATTAGCTCTCCCGGGAAATCTGAAATATATATTTTAGCCTTCCCGGGACATCTGAAAAATAAATTTTAGCTTTCCCGGCACGACACCTACATAATATACACCAGAAATAGGTTGCAGGAGAGGGTATACATAATATACACCAGAAATAGGTTGCAGGAGAGGGTATACATAATATACACCAGAAATAGGTTGCAGGAGAGGGTATACATAATATACACCAGAAATAGGTTGCAGGAGAGGGGTATACATAATATACACCAGAAATAGGTTGCAGGAGAGGGTATACATAATATACACCAGAAATAGGTTGCAGGAGAGGGTATACATAATATACACCAGAAATAGGTTGCAGGAGAGGGTATACATAATATACACCAGAAATAGGTTGCAGGAGAGGGTATACATAATATACACCAGAAATAGGTAGCAGGAGATGGTTTATATAATATACACCAGATGTAGCATGCAGGTGATGGTATTTATAATATATACCAGAAAAAGATTGCACTGTTAATGATATTTCTAAGAATACCAAACCTGAGTGGATTAACTTGACAATATCAGGGTTATTACTCAATGGTATACTTCTTTTTCACCCCAGTATATATATATATATTGCTGGGTTATATGTACAACAGTGTTATCACCGGAACCGTCATTGATAAAATGAGTTATTCCAAGTTAGTGTTGGAAGACACTCACTTAACTCAGCATTTCCAGCAATATCCCTGTTGGGAGCACCAAGAAAGTGCCTTCTCACTTGTGGCTCACCTTGCCACAAGTTTTATCAAATACAGTATACTGCATCCTATATGCATTAAATGGAAGAGAACATGCCAATAATGTCAACTGCAATTTTATTGGAGTATTGATTTTGTAATTATCATATTCAAATTAATTGAAGTATGTACCAGTAGGTAAGATTTATGCGATATTTCCATCAAGACATACCATCAATGTTTGGACATTTCATGATAGAATTTCTTCACTCATTCACCTGATTCAAACAAGAAACACCCCCATTTATGAAATGTCTAAGTAATTATACCCCGCAACGCGTTTTGGGGGGGTATTAAAATGGACTCCGTCCGTCCATCCGTGCACATTTGTATTTTCCGGAGCAGAACTCTAAAACCATTCAATATTTCTTCACCAAACTTGGCACATAGATAGATCTGGTGGTGTACTGGTGCCTTTTGGTACTTTTGGAATTCTGAATAAAACGTTTTTGGCCTTTCCATGGTAACAAGTTTGACTTAGCCTGAAATTGGTGGTTGTGCTCTTTTCCGGAGCTGAACTCTAAAACCGTTCACTATTTCTTCACCAAACTTGGCACATAGATTGGTCTGGTGGTGTACTGGTGCCTTTTGGTAGGTTTGGAATTCTGAATAAAATATTTTTGGCATTTCCATGGCAACAAGTTTGACATAGACTGAAATTGGTGATAGTGCTCCTTTCTGGAGCAGAACTTTAAAAACCTTTCAATACTCTCCTTCCACTTTTCTATATACACACCTGTGTGAAGCCCATTTCTGGTGTCCCCAGCCGTGATATTGCTAGAATATTACTGAACTCACTCACTCCTCTTGATAGTAATTGTATTTCCTCTTGATAGTAATTGCATTTCCTCATCTAGTTTTGTACAGATTTTAGAGAAACATATCTGCAGTAAACTTTCATGTTTACATTTTATTAACATGTGTTATATTTGGGATTACACTTTCTTAGTAAAGTACAGATTCTAGTTCTGAGTATTCTAATGCTGTTGACTTATTAAGATTAGTGTAATCCCAATTATAACATATGTTGCATTTGACTACTTTCTAAACGGCATTGTGTAGTCATACATTTTATTACCTTGAAGGAGAATAATTGCCATGTTTGTTGTATGGGACATCATGGTGGTTATTTGTGGATGTCATAAGCAACCCGAGTGTGCCTGCTGGTGTCTGGGTGGGTGGTCTGTGAGGAGGCAGCTCTCACATCATGATGCCATCTCCCTGGGTCGTCTCACTGTGAACACTTAAATGTCACAGGTGATCTACACATGCGTCCTCTAATTGTTCGGGGACATTTTGTTATATTAATTATTTTCTGTTGAAAAGCTATTTCAGAATTTAATGTGAAATTGGTTTCATGTTGATTAAACTTAATATTGATTCAGCTTTAAATGTAACATGTTTTTGGTGACCTTTAAGTTTTCACCTCATGGATACTGTTGACATAGGATCATAATTGCACACAAACCCCTAAAATTGGTTCCTTCAACAAATATGTTTTATGTCAAATTTCAAGAAGTTGAGATTCATTAAGGTAGGCTCCTTTGAGAAACACTCAAACTAATTCAGATCAAGTTGCATTTCAGAACAAGATGAACATACATCTAATACATAATTACAACGTACAAATGTGCCAACAACACCGACTCAGATCCTTTCAAAATGCATCTGTTTTTTCCTGCTTACAATGAAGCATTCCATTACTTTAAACAAATAAAACAACAAAAGAAGTTGCATTTCCCAGTGTCTTCACACATGAGTGACAAAACACTCCCATTCAGTTTTAAGAAAAATGCACTGAGACTGAGACAGTCTAGAGCTCCCAAATCATTCTCAAAAAATAATAGTCAAGTTGGATTCAGTGCTATTGCCTGGGAAACACATAACTACTTGAAACAGTGCAAGTTGATGCTGAAATTCATGCAGGGGCTATCCTCTGGCAATAGCACTGCAGTGCAGTCATATAGCCAATTATTAAGCAGTTAAGTGATTGTTAATACCTGACATAGTTGCCCATCACCAAGCATCTATTAGCTTCTGCTTGTCTGCTCTTCATCAATCATACACTCTGTGATAGACAGTTCTTGATAGTTTGTCATGAAAGTTTGGCAGTCTCTACAGATCCTTTGTTGGACATTTCTCTTAAATAAGATAAGTATGACAACGTAGACTATATTATTTTGCTGAAGATGATATTACTTTCCATTCTCATGGTTGTAACTCCCTACAGAGCAATTTCAGCCCATATTGTACTCAGTCATATATGGACATTCACAGTGAGCTCTCAGTGGTCATTCCAAAATAGTTTGATAACTGACACCAATTAAATAGTTGAATTGCATGCTCGCTCGCTCACTCACTCACTCACTCACTCACTCACTCACTCACTCACTCACTCACTCACTCACTCACTCACTCACTCACTCACTCACTCACTCACTCACTCACTCACTCACTCACTCACTCACTCACTCACTCACTCACTCACTCACTCACTCACTCACTCACTCACTCACTCATGCTCCACTTAAAACATTGAGCAATTTTTTCCATGTCAGCCATCATATAATCAAATTGTGACTTGAGTCCACCTGAAAGCATGCCTGGAAGTATGAAGAACATTCCAAGTCATAAGGGCATGATGACATGTATATCAG